GAGGAGGAGGAGGTGGTGGTGGAGGAGGGGGCGGGGGAGGTGCCCCCGGGGGAGCGAACATGGGTGGGACTGAAAGGAGTGTTAACATTAGTAACCATTTAATGCAGAGGCAGAGTCTGTCCTCGCCCGCCTCCTGCACCTCTACGCCGTTACATAACATCACATCACTTTACTCAAGAGCCCTTTGGGGCCGGAGGAGTGCTTCGACTTTGTCAAGGCGCAGCGCTGCGCCGCACACACTTAGACACACTTCTTTGTAGTATGAATTGAGTGTTTCCATAGCGACCAGCTTGCAGGGAGAGCTGTGGTTAGTTCTGTGCTGCCGGCCTGATCCTGGCGCTGAGGTAAAAAAGCTGCTACACAAACCTAAAATATTTCTTGTTCAGCTCGAATCGTTTGCAAAAAGTTAAAACGCAGCAGTGTCTGAGGCTTGTGTATGGTGTAATGCAGTACTATGTGTAGCTTGTGCATGGTGCTATGTGGGCCTTACTGTTCCACTATAAAGCAGCAGGCCTAACGCAGCTTGGCCTATTTACACAGTAGGATAGAGAATCAGCTGTGCTTAGAACACAATGGGCCTCCATAATCCCTGTCTGGTAAACATAGGCTTTGTGCAGCGTAGTCTCACTATCTGCAAATAGCATGTTACATTTACACCTTGTCAACTAATGTCTATTTACATTTATATTACATTAAAAAAAATAAACTAATGCCTGCTGCTCTAAAATTCTAAATTGCGCCAATCTTTTAAACCAATAGCTTAAAATTGGATATTTTAAGCACGTAGACACAGATATGCACTTATGACTTAAGGCATGTAGTAGTTAGTAGTAGTACGCAGTGTTATGTAGTATGTCTACTGTTTATTGTGTGCACAAAAGTAAACTCAGGCAGAGGCTCTCAGCAGAGCCTGTATTCTCATCACTGCCTGTCAATGTTTAAAGAGTGTTATCTCATATCACACAGGTCAAACAGACCAGACTTCAGCTGATAAGGGAGTGCAAAACAGATTTTTTTGGAGTATAAATAGCAGATGTTTTTGTCGTTTTAACACTCAAGAGTGTTCTTATCAGGACAGAAACATTCTTTTAACCAGTATTTGCAGCATGGGAAAGGGTAACAAAACTCTCCCAAACCAACACTAATGAAATTCCTAGGTGGGTTATCAGCACTGTAGGGCCAGTTTGGCTGTGTACAATTCTGCCCTCACTTAATACCAACAAGGTACAATGCTGACTGGCCTGTGAAAACTGTCACTATGTGATGTGCCCCCAACAAAGCTCACCTGGTCCAGAGTTGGGGATGGAGGGCGTAGGCACGGCGATGGGAATGCCAATACCGCTGCTGCCGCTGTTCTCCCTGCTGCCACTACCCCCGCTGCTTCCACTGAGGGAGGAGAGAGACGGAAGAGAAAGAGGACACCGTTTTATTCAGGGCAACCTGCTCAGACTGCACAGCAGGTAATACTGCAGTTATATGGACCACATCTGCATGTCCTATTTAGAATTATAAGGCCGTAAAACCTCCCTTTTTAAGTATTACCTAAAGCATATTACTGTCCAATTTTTCACTTCTTCTCTCATATTCACTGTTTCTGTCTATTGGCCTTTTAGGTTTGAGCTGGCAGTGACACACCCAGGAGAACAGGAGATGAGTCACTCTATTGAAGACTGAGAGTAACACAGTAAAATGGAATAAATAGTTGATAAACAGTTTTGGTTTTTCATGAAAACCACCTAAAAATATCTTGCTTGATATCCTGAGATTGCCCCAAAATACTACTTCCTACTAATTTACAGTGATTATCACACGCTCGGTGTATTCAGTCTAATAATAAGTTTTACTTTCATTTGGCAGCTGACTTTATAATGGGGCTGAATACGAGGCTAAATTTAAAACAAACACTTTGTTGTACATGATATGAGCCTTTGCGAAACAATGCTGCATTTTTAGTGAATGAACTAAAATCAACCTAATGACATAAGAGCTTTATAAGAATGGTTCACACATCAACTGTAGCCACATATGCAGCTGCTCATAGTGTAGCCAGTCGATATTAAACGGTGCAGATTCAATTAGTTGATTAAGCGTTAGTCGATCACCAGAAAAAAAACCAACAAAAAAAAAAACCGCCTGGTTTCAAGTGTGACAAATTGCATGGGCATTTTTCGTAATAGTTTTGATGGTCAATTTATCAATGAAACCATTTATCAAGCAAAGTGTTGCTGGTTTTCTCAGTTTCCTATCAGTGAAATGGAATGTCTCTGGGCTTTGGATTATTCCTTGGACAAATGGCGTCCTGCCCAGCCTTAACCTCTGTCGATATTAGACATGGGAATGTAGTATGTATGTATTGTCGAGCTCGGCAGTTGGCCTGTATTTCACAGCGTTGTTTCACCCTTGTGTCTTTTGACCCTTGGGGCTGCTAGATCAATTGTCCCTGGCACCGAACTAAAAATACCCCGCCCTTACCCTCCCGCTCTCACTCTCTCTCTCGGGCTGGCCTTGATCCTCATTTCTACTCCCAGCCCCTCACCCCCACCTCTCCTTTTTCCTGCTTCTTTCATCCCTGCTTTTCAACTGATCCTTCTCCCTACCTCTCACCCCTAACCATCCCTCGACCTCTCATCTCCCCATTGCCTGTAAACTGATTCCCCCATTCGTCTCCCAAACCCCTCACCCCGCACTCCATCTCCTCTGATTCCTTCCATCCCTACGAATCCCTTCTTGCTCACACCCACCCACCCCCACCCACATCTCTTTATCCCCTTTTCCCTTCCCCATCATCCCCCTCTTCACTTCTCTGATCCATGTCAGTTGAGCCCTCGGGCTCTCCAGGCACAACCAGCAGGGGTTGCCCCTCTGAAGGATGTTGGTGGCAGTGGGAGCTGAGTGTCTGTGGGGATAAAGGCTAAACAATATTGTGTCATCCCTCTTTTGAAGTCGACGCCGTACTTCACTTCCCCATCTGCATGTTCTGAATGTATCCATTCTAATCCCTATATAAAACTTACCCGTTCCTTTGCTAAACCCATTCATCTCTTCCCCAGCTTTTGCTTTTCCCATCCTTTCCCTCTTTGTTTAAAAATGCTCGCTGTGAAATAAAAAAGCACTGAGCTCCGTCTCTCCTTCTCCTCCTTCCTGCCTGCCTTGCTCATTCAGCCTCTACCAAACACAGTGAGTTGTTTATAAATCAGCTAGGCTTAAAAAAAAAGTTCCAGCTCACTTGCTCACAGCTGACAACAATCCCTGGAGCCAATGAAGAAAAAGACACTGTGCTCAGTGAAAGGAACAAAAAGTGAAAACAATATGTGAAAAGTTTACGCTTAGGCATTGTGACATGATATGACTCGACATAAGTTGCCCAGAGCATAATCAAAGATAGACTGAAAAATTCTGAGAACTGATATTGAGGCTTGAGCTGTGCATAAATAACCCAAAGTGCATAAACAGCAGAAGATGAGCATGATGGTTGCTGTAATCTAGAAAAATAATCTAATACAACAGGATTTCAGACCTGGGTTTTTCTTAAAGAACTGGTGTATAAAAAAGATAAACTATGCTACATTCAGTGCAAATGTAATGTTTATTTTCACGTTGCAATGTGAAAGGTGATGGGCACAGAAAATACAACTGACAGGAAGAGAAACAGGAAGCTAATGTATTTCTGTCTGGTGCAGAAAAAGAAAACAATAAAAAAAAACACTATATTCATAGTTCATATGTTATATATAGTTATGTTTCTCTGCTGCACACTTGAAAAGCCTCATTCAAGTCTTTAAAAACATAAACCAATCCCATTTGAAAAAGTGGAAAAAAATGTATAAAAGAGACACAACTGTGCTTAAACTACAATTTGACTTTGAGCTGGATATAATTTACAAAATGATGCTCACATTTTTATAATTATTTTAAATGTTTTGAGTAAAATTTCTTGTTCTTTTTTAATTTTTTACTTTGCTTTATGCCTTCATTAGAGAAATCGCAGTGAGAGATGACAGGAAATTATGGGCGATGGGTGAGGAACGGCATGCAGCCGTCGTACCTCATGGTCAGAGCCCCCTGGCCTCCAGGCAGACCCTCTTTACTTTTAGGTTGATTTAGGAGTGGAAGAGTGTTTGTTGAGGAAGAACAATTTTGAAAAAGTGGTACACGCAAAATACTTGTCATTATGATATGACAAGAAGATGAAGTAACACTGTATGTCTACTTCTTTTTTAAATGATCTATTGCATTTTGATGCGTCTTCCTTCAGCAACAGGGTCACACACTCTTAAATGCATCCTGTTTATTTTGGATATTTAAAGCAGGTAATCAGATTTTTAATACCAGGATACTATGGTGACAGATAAACAAGTTTTTTTTAAAACAATAATACCTGCATACAGTATGACGGTGAAATATTTCCCACAGAAATGTATCAGATAATAACAGGGAACATGGAGCACAAGCTCATATTGAATTTAGATCTCAGTTGAGGATGGCAGAGACTGATGAGCTGAATAAGCACAGCCGACTTCAAGCCTGTGTAATCAAATAGTGATGCCACACAATATTAGCTGAAGCAGGGTGGGTGCAGCCCGACTCTGAGGACAGCATCAGTTTGTTAAAGGGACATTAGGGTGTCTTTGAACCACAGATCTGTAACAGTGATGCTGAACAGATGAGAAGAGCTGCACAGAAATTACAGGAAGAGCTGGAGTTTTAACTGATAAAGTAGAAGAAGAACTGGGGAACATCTGTGTGACTGAGCAGCTTTGTGCAAACATACATGAGAAGTTGGGCAACGGTAGGGAAAATAAAAAGTTATGTAATATTTATGAGCATCACAGTCAGCATAACAGGCTTTTTAGCTAATGAGGCGACTTCAGTCACTCGTAACTCAAATTTGATGGAGGCGTCTGGCTTTCTCTACGTGGAGATTTCTGGGTAACAATCCTTGAGTCATGTTCAAGGGTTTCCATGCTGTAGTTGACTTAGGGTTTTTTGAAACAGCACTTTATATCAGAGGCTTTTACAGATATTAATATTGGAGTGATTCAGGCCGCTGTAAGAAACCCTCCGAGCCTTTTCAGACAAATGCTGGATTTAGTGCGGCAGAGAGGAGGAAGAGGTGTGCAAGTGCTATAAGCTGCTGAACTAAGTGAAGAGATTAGAACTACCTGGCAAAGAGGGAGGGGGGGTGTTGTTTGAAGAGATGCTTTCCTCACATTACGGAAACACTGAGTGCACATTTAGCGTTCGGTTTAGAGGTGTAGCTAAATCACTAGTTCCACTCATACCTATCTAAAAATCGATAAAAAAGTATGAAGTACCTGTATCACTCTGCATTAAAAGCTGTGCAAGGTTGATTAACATTTCAGTTGCAGATTTTAGAGATTTTATACTCATGAAGTTTGTTTGGGCAACTTCATATGTCAAGCTTAACCATATGAGCAGTGTCTGGCTGCTATCAGTTTAAATTGCATCAAAGCTCATTAAGCCCATGACTGCACCTTGTAATTGTTTGTCTCAAGTAAGAACAATTCCAAAACCCAAAGACATTCAAGCTACAATGATATAAAACCAAAGAAAAGCAGTAAATCCCCACATTTGTGAAGCTGTGAATGTTTAGAACGTACGCCTTGTGTGACAGACAGTGTGCCCTCTCTTATGTTCTCTCCTATGTACCTGTGAGTGCGTTGCCTCTGGTTGAGCGACGCCGTGCGGCCGGGGCTGTGCTGCTGGCCGTGCTGGCTGCCTAGTCGGGCGGGACTGGTCATGTAGTCATTGGGCACCGTGGGTGGCTTCACCGGCTCCAGGGTCTTGTAGGACGTGTTGCGTCTGGAGCAGCCGAAGGTGAAAAATGAATTAAATAAATGGCAACTCAAGGACGAGAATGATCATAATTGAGTAGAAAATCCTGCGATGGAAACTGTGAGGCTGTGTTCACCAGAGTGCTGAAAATCCTATCAGTTTACCCAGCTGGATGCTGTGCACTACGGGCTGGATGTGAGCACATAGCAGTTTACCCGTGGAATTAATATCTGATTAGTGTCGCCGAATGCTGCCATGCATCACACGGCGACAGGGTTCAACAGGGTGTGAGACCTGTCCTAACAACCGATAAAAGTTCCCAGACTTTTCTTTTACCTAGATCCCTTTTCTTTGAAGTTTCACTTACATCACTATATGAGCCACCACAAACACACAACCACACTCCAAGTTAAAACGTCATAGCTCAGTGGGTAGTGTGTGTTCAGTGTGTTATTTTAATATAAAAAATAATTCCAAAAAATAAATAAATGTGATGTACTTTAGCTGCGTGTTCTTTTAATCGCCCCCACAAGAGTTCTGTTTTTTTCATTCAGTGTTTGATAATTAGAGGATTAGTCTTCCTTTCATGGTGACTGAAATGGAAATCTTACCCGAGCGTGCCACGCCCTGACATGGGAGGGCTTGGCGGCTTCTGCGTCGGCGGATTGGTCCTCGATAGTGTTCCTCCTCTGATTGACTGATTGTTTCCATGTTGCTGTGGTTAGAAGGAAAAACCCCAAAGACACTTATTTAACAAACAAATTAATTCAGACAGTGTGGCTGACTAAAATCAAGAGTTATAGGCTACCCAGATGACAACTCTTCAACAACATGGATGTACAGTACATATTATAGTGAGTAATACTTGAAGGGTTATGCAATGCCAACCCAGCTTGTGCTTAAGTCACATGGTGTCTGCTGCTGATTGCAGGTTAGAAAACTCCAGGTTGTTTCAACAAGGCTTCTTGCGAAACACTTGTGTCTTAACAGATGCATAAAGTAACTACTGCAAATTTTAATTTTACAGTTTAGGAATACTCTGCAAGAAACTTAAGGATATACAGTATATGCTTTGTCTGGGAAGCCTATAAAAAGGAGTTTAAATAAACTACAGAACATTTATAGACAACTACACAACATGTAAGTAAATGACAACACACAACCGTTGGTAAATTGACAAGGAGGAAGTTACAGAGCCTCAGACTGTGTTCTGGGCTAAGAGGACTACAGAACAAGTCGGTTAATGGGAATAACATGGGAAATGACAACAATTACCACATGTACAGGGATTTTCTGTAAAAAGGGAGTTGGACAAATCTATCAATTATACATTATAGTTAAAGGGGTCATGTGACAAACCAGACTTACCTTGGCTTTTAGCCACTTATGTGGGCGAAGGGAAAAAAAACAGAAGAGAGAGACAGAAAGAAGGCATGTCAAAATGGCCATGTCTAAACGGATCAGTAGAAGTCAAAGTACAAGCGGGCAGGAGAAAAATGACTCCTCGTTGTATTTACACTGCATAAACATTTAGCAAGACCTGGGCAGGTCAGTAGTTACAAGTCATACAACCAGAGGAAAACACTGTGGCTTGTGACTGTTGCTCTCTTTACTTAGACCCACAGTGCCACACCCAGTAGCATAGTCGGACTGGAAGGAAACTGCAGGGATCTGATGGTAGAGCTATTGTGCATAAATGAAAGAAATCGTATCTTAACAGGGTGTCTGAGACTGAAGCGTTTACCTTTGTACATCAAAAAGCTACCTCACAAATATGTATTTTACATCTACTGCGTATGTGTTCACTCAATTCCTGTTTTGCAGTTTTGTACACAAAATAATTTCAAATGATCACGTTACTGGCAGTGATAAAACACCACCTTAGTACTTGTGTGGGCTGATGTCAAAGAGAATACAGAGCCAACATAACAGTAGGGTTTGACAACTGCAGAGTCAAGTGGCTCATCTATAATGCAGCTTCCCCAGTGGCCTTTGCAGAAAGCATTGTAGCATCACACAAGACCACGAGAGAAAGAGAAAAGGAAACAAATGGCAAATTCGTGGCATAGGTCAGTACGAAGTGATCTCTACCTCTTTAAAAAGCATAAACACCTCCAGTGCAGCTGTGAATGGTAAATTTCACGTTCAAATTTCACTCTCCCCGGGTTATCAGAACTAGGTAAGATTCAATTTACAATCTAGGTCATGCTAAAGAGGCCTAGTACTGCCTTCCCTTATCTTCCTGACAAATTCTGTATCTGTTTTTCTGCACACACCAGACTGTCAGTGTGGAAATGCTTTAGTAACATCGAAGTTGAATTATGGACAGTCAGGTTCAGATTAAGGTCATTATAGTCCAAAAAGGCTTAGCATGTCGCACCTGGTTGAAAATCTAGAGCAATGCTGTCAGAGTTACGTGAGTCTGTTGGGTAAATGTTCAGCATAAAGGACACAAGCGCTTCCTGTGGTTAGGGTAGTCACCAAGGACTCATCCCAAAAAAAGTAGTCCAACTGAGGGCCAAACATTGCCAACTATCTGACACATTAAAGAAACATATGAGGCAACCACCAATACGGTGCGATTCGACACGATTTGATTCAGCATAATCCAATTTAACGCAAGAATGTGATGCTATATAATGCAATATGGTACAGATAGACTTTATTCTATGTTGCCAAATCAACCAGGACTGAAATCTTAAGGGTTAAAACTCAAAATTACCCAAAAAACTCAAACCATCCCTTTAAGCTAATCTTGTGCACTCATAACTGTAACAACATAACATATCAAAGGATTGCAATCTAATTAAAAAAAATCTGACATAATCATCCCTGGATTCCTGAAATCCCGCTGACTAGATTAAACATCAGCTGACTGGAAGAGTCAATCTCATCTTTCATATTAAAGCTAAAAAGCATCATGTCGCTGTCGGTACACCTTGAGATGCAGGAACATCCCGATCTGTCAGTTGGGAGATTTCACTTATTATTTACAGTATATTATGCTGCTGTGTTCAGAGAAGAATCAGATTATCTACTAGATTAAGCTCACCTTCTCTTTTCTTTCCATTCCTCTTTTTCTTTATGTCTGCTTTGGATCTTTGAACAGCTTCTAAACAATAAAGTGTGTAAGTGCTACATGCCGTTTCTTCTCTGTATTACAGCTCATGCTTTAGTGTTTAATTATATAAACACTGTTTGAGGTCGTAAAACCAATTCAACATTTAGGCCAGTGCAAACATTCACAGATGTAGCGAGTTTCACAGTTAACTGGAGGCAAAAGACAGGATTTAAACTCCCATTAAAGTATTGATTCTGGTCATTAAGTAAACCATGGCTATAGATATTCTATACAAGCCTGGCATTTGACAGCAGCCATCACAGGATACTATATGAATGAATATGGAGTATTGATTGGCTCGTTGGGCTGTGACATGCATAGATGAGAGGAGGTGAGTGATGTAGGACTGCTGCCGGAGTGTGTGTGTGTGGGTTTGTGTGTGTTCCCGATCATATTCACTAACTAAATGCAGCATAAAGACATTTAAAAGGAGAAAATCCACTGAGATTAGACCCAGAGTAATACGTAATGTTCCTAAAATAGATGCATCAAACACTCTCGAAGCAGCCATGAAGCACGATGGTTTCAGTAATTTGACACTATTGTGCGATGATGTAGTGGTATCCTAATTCTGAGCAACTCGTCTACTTAATCTAACACAGCAGAGTCAGAACTGTGGATGATTCACACAAACCTCATGCTGATTTTGCCTGATTTTTTTGCCCTGTGATTATATAAAATGTAGTTAAGTTTAAAAACTATGAACATCATTAAAACAGTATATTAATTCTTGACCTTAGAAACAGCAGTTAACAAAATAAAACTCACCTCAAATACCATTTAGCAGCTGTTCTGGAACTTTTGATCACATCAGATGATCATCAGCACATGGAGTTTGCCCTAATGTTATGAAATTGCTTTCTCTCTTTTTTTTTTTTAATAAGTAAAAATAAAATCTACAAACCATGACAACTGGGTAGACACTATCTGCTGATGAAGATCATGTAATGTGATAAAAAGTAGAATAACTGCTAAATGCAATTAGAAATATAATCTGTTGATTTAACAATGTTCCCACTTTCAGGCATCTGACTATCAAATTAAAGTGTTCTTGTTTATTATTTTCAATGTTAAACGCAACCTTATTATTATAGGTTTATGAATATTAAAAATTAAGCTACAAATATGAATGCTAAATTGTTGTTACTATCTGGCAATACTTGTATTGTTAGATGTAATAATAGCAATAATTAGCTTACCTTAGCACAAAGACTGGTGGCAAGGAGAAACAGCCAAAGTTGCTAAATCTTCCTTTCCAGCACCTCTATAGCTCACTAATTTACACGGTTTATGTCTTTTGACAGAGATATACTGTAAAGAATGTTGTGGTTTTATGTGCATTTACCAGCTGCTGGTCCCCAAGAAAGAGAGATACAACATGTTAGTAACTTAGAGGTGGTGTTGGATGGCAGATTCAGGAACGTTGGACAGAGAGCCGGGCTAGCTTTTTTCCCCTGCTTGCAGTCATTAGTCTCGGCTAAGCTTACAGCCTCCCATCTCTAGCTTCGCATTTGGCATACAGACATGAGAGTGGTTTCGTTTCTCATCTCACTCTTGAAAAGAGAATGAATAAGCAAATTTCCAAAAATGTGTCTTTAATAATAACTTTAATAATAACACTTTTTAAGAAGCTTTTTGGAAGCTGTCGTGAGAAACAAACAAATAAAATGCTTCGCTTCCCATTAGACATAGCACTCTTCCACCCTGACAGAAGGGTCCAATGTAATTCCCTACAGGGTAAATTGAGAGTGACAATACGGGATGGTAATGGCGGGCCTCTAATCCAATCTGTCTGAAAGCTGCAATTGATTGGCTGATTGATGGGGCAAGCGGACGCCCAAGGGGGAGGATGGAGATTGCAAAAATGCCTACGGCCGTCAGGAGATGTCGTCATTACCACCACGGTCAGGACGACCCAGTAACCCCTAAAGCTCTAATGGCAGAGAGGGAGTGAAAATGTCACACTTTGATCATCACTTTCTACTTGGGAGAGTTTATCGGATCAAAAACAGCCTCTTTCTAGCCTTTCAGATGGTACTGATGTGAAAATAAAGTACAAATCAGATTGTAACAACATCATTCCTGTGCAAAGGTTTAGAGAAACTGGAGAACGCGATTACGAGGGCGGTCTGGGCCTGAGTGCCTTTAAAAACGTCTCACAAAATTGTCTCCGCTCACCATTTTCACAACACTCTAAGAATAGAGCTGTTTTCTGAAAGCTATATGATGTAATCACTTTTTTACTTCATCTCCACCCCCAACCCGTTCCCACCAACCCACACTGAAACATATTCCTGTAGGGTCAGAAGGGGTGCTTTCTGAAGATGAAAGAGAACGCACAAGAGAGAGAGTGTGAGCGAGAAAACGAGTCAAAGTGGGAGAGAGAAGAGAAGGGATAGGAATACCTCTGGCAAGAAAGAAGGAAGGGGGAAGGGAATTAGATATAGTAGGACAAGAAAGTGGAAGAACAGAAGTAGAGATAAACTAATGGACTGAGTGTAGAGAAATCTGATCGGGGAGCAGATCTAAAGGAGAGAAAAAGTACATACAAATCAGGAAGGAGAAAGTCCGCTCACCTTAACACCATGGCCGACGTCGTCCAGTACATTGTAGTCAATGGGCTTCCTGATGTACCTGACCGGTCGCTCCATATTAGCTGGTGCTATGATCTTATGGGTCCTCGCCGTGTTCTTGTTGGTGGTCAGGATCCCAATCTCCCGCCTGGCCACCTTCTCTTTATGAATGTCCACCGTCTGTAAATGACACAGTGACGACAGAAGAGGGGATGTGATCGATGCCAAAGCGAAAACACAGAAAAGGCGCAGTACAACAGGGAACTCTGGGATTGAATAAACTCGTTATCACTTATTTAATCACTGAGGTCGTAATCTTTTTACAACATTCAATGTACACTAATAAAATCGATTGCGGTAGAAACCGGGTCCTGAACAGAATAATGACCAAAGCATGTGTGTCTGAACATTTCTGACTTCAAAAATGAATTGTACAGTGAATACACAGAAATATAAAGATGGAGAGTGATGAGTTAGAATTCAAAGTGATGGTATGAAATGTGACTGAAGGAACACTGCATTCATATTTCAGCAGAATAAAATTATGTCTATTGTGTATTTAAACCACATTCTCATAGATTATTATTAGCAGAAAGAAATGTCTCTTTCATCTTTTGCAGAATGCTAGGGCCAAATTGTGATACATTATTTATGCTCCTGGAGACCAAGAGTGTGTTCCTACTGAAATTGCAGCAATGTTCGATTAATTACCCTGTCCCCTTTCAAAAAACTAATTACTTTAAAGATGCATTTGGAAACCTTGCACACTGCTGGCTCCAAATGACAAAAATAACTTACTGAAGAGCTCAGAAATCATGCAAGGCTGCATTGTTGTTGTTTGCTGCCAGGGTTTCATCATACAGAGGGAATGCCTTGAAGTAGTTCCTCTTGGTTAGCATTTAGTTGATTATCAAATCATCGAGGGTTGCAACTACCTACAGGCCGACCAATACAGGATTTTTTAATGCTGATATTGATATTTGGGAGTTAAACAAATATGAAAATGATAAATTGGCTGATAGTCAAGCTGATATATTAGCAATTTTGATACAGATCCCTTACAAATCTCACATTTGAGGAGCTAGAACCACATTGTTGCTCGATCAGCGATCACTCGACCAATGTCAAATAACTGACAAATAGACTGCAATCAACTATCATGTTCAAACAACATGAATCTACAGATCTCAACACCATCACATGCCACTGAATTTCCATTTCTTGCTCTGCCTTTACACTCCCACCAAACCAAGAGGAGCCCAGGAGCAGCTGCCCTTCCTCTGAGAGATGAAAGGCTGCAATGTCTGCTGAGGGCAGCCCAGTAAAACGATGGTCTCTTACAAGGGGGGGAAGGAGTGAGCGTCCAGCACCAACAGAGGATTCCTTTCATGCCAAAGGGATCTGGAGCTAGGCTGAGCTCTGTGTCTTCATGCTGCACTGTTCCACTGTATGGACAACTCACCCTTCAAGTATCACTCATCCTAGAGTTAAGGGGAATCAACAACACTAGTGGACTTATGTGTAGTCGAGTACAGGGCAGTCAGTGCTGACATCTGTACAATATCAAGTCTGATGTTAAACTGTAGGACTAGTGAGATATAGGCCTTGGAGTTGACAGGTTATAGTATCCATTTAAAACAATGTTCTTCTTACAGGACATGGAAGGGTACAAGAAAGTGGATTGTTCAAAATTACAGAATAAAACTAAATCAATATTTCATAACAGGAAAAGTTGCTCATACATAATTGCTCCCACGGAGACTTCCCATACAAAGGGGAAACATCCGATCTGTTCCAATGCGCTGTTGTGTCTGTTTGAATTAAGAGGGATGACAGAGCATTGACTAGTCATTTTTTACCAAAGCTGTGTTGCCAGAACACGAGAGGCTCATATTAAAAAAAGAACTGCGGTGACAAAGTCTTCCCAATGAGGCGAACAAACCAATGCACAACTATTCCATTTTAGCAGTCCTCTGAATTCCAATGCGTAAGACCTCCACTACGACTGGAATTGAGCTAATAAACTTGACTACACAGCTCAGAGATAATGCCACGTCATAAATCATGATCGTCTGGAAACAACTGGGCCAAAATCTAATCAGTCTTTTTGGCTTCCATTTGCAGGGGAGTGATGGCGTTCAGTGATTACTATGATAAGCCCAGACACAGGAAGGAGTAGAGGAGGGAAAAGCTCAGTCATTCTAGGTTTCACCTCCAAAATAAAGCTTTAACCTCATCACGTCACCTCAGTGTGACCCCAAAACACCAACCTCACCTGGAGTCCTTGTAAAGTCATGAGGCATGGTAATGACAAAATATTATGGGGAAGAAGGTGTTTTCAGCCAAAACTCGAAAAGAGGAAGAATTCCACTACAAACCACCGAAACTCCTCCTCAATCAGAGAAAGGCTCTTTAAATATTGTAGCCAAATAGGGAAAGCATCTGGTCTTGGCTGAACATACTGCCCTTATCAGAGAGCAGCGGGTGGACAAACATCATCGCAGCTGGCAAAGGAGGGAAGTGAGAAGGCGAAGTTGTGTGAGTTCATCTCCTTCCTGTGTGCCGAGAAAATAGCCCTGCCGTAACAGTGTGGGCCAATGTTACAGAAGTGTTGACAGAAGCGTAAATTCAAAGCCACAACTTTCATGCAGCAAGCGACACCACCCTATCAAGAGTGCTTTTTCTAATCCACTGTCCGGTGCCCAAAGAACGTTAAATGGATTCGACAAAAATGAAAAGGGCTAAGTAGTATGACCCAGTGGGGAGCTCCAATCTGAGCAATGGCTACTTAATAGCCTGCCCCTTCCCTCAACACTTCCCTGGGTTTTCAACTGGCACTAAAAGGTATTTACTTGATCCCAATGGTCCATCTGTTAAGTGGAAAGAGACTGAACTCTGAATACATCTTGCCAAACTAAAAAAGGTGGATGATTCACATGTGTTTTCAACCACTGTCACCCATATGTTTGAGGCCTGCGGGTGTTTTCCCAGAACACGGAGCAGTTTTGGCTCTCGTGTACGGCTAATCCATCGGTTACAGGCTTTCAGGATTTAAGGGCACCCACTTCTTGCTGCCTTCTCGTTTTTGAAGTGCTCTTTTTATTTATCGCCTCCATTACCTTCTGCTCTTCTCTTCCTTCCACCCAACTCTTCTGCATCTTTTCAGTTTTGTCTTTTTCCTCTATCCCTCTAATTCCACCAAATTCCTCCCACACCCATGAAAGAGTCACACACCTATATGACTAGATGATGAACTAGGTCATACAGTGGAACTGCTGCCAACACCATCATCGTCATCCACACGTTCTAGCCAAACAGAAAAAAAAAAAAGTCGAGTCAACTGGAAAAGTTTTGGGGTATGAGTGAGTCAGTGCAGTGGTTGCCAGGATGAGAGATTGTTGTTGTGTTGTTAGTAGCAACAAGTGCCTAAATATTTGTGATTTGCTATTTATTTCTTTTTAATCCAGATTGTTGCCATTTTGGTTGCGGTTGCACTTTAAAGCTTGTAGCTCCAAACAGGACACAGGGTCAGCTGTTTAAATGTTTGAACTTCAACACCCAGGAATCTAATGACGTGACATTGTGTCATCGCTCACCAACCTGGGCAGTCCGGGGTCGCTATTTTGGATACCGAAGAGATCATGTCAAAAGACCCAGTGTTGTAAACATACAGCTTCCTCTGGAGTCAGTGCGGATTGGGAGACAGCCTGTAAACACACTTGCTCATATTTCAATCTGTTATTTGCCTGAATTTCATGTAAGCAAAGACAGTGATTCCACACAATTAGGGAGGATGGCACATTCCTCTGCTTTACAGCCCCAATTTGCGACTTTGTTTGTTATTGTTTGCCTAAAGTGCAGGATTTGTCTGTACTGGCTGAATGAATGGAAGAAGCATTTCAGTAATGGGACTCTAGGGGGGGCATACTGGAAAAAGAAACATCAGGACCAACAAGTTGGACTCTATACAACCTTAGGGGGCATACTGATGACTTTGACATGAAAGCTATGCAATAATATGTACTAATGGTCTGTAGCTCATTCTGTAGTAATTTCCTAGGTTAACAAAACATTATCCCGTTATTTATTACGTTTTACGTCATTCTGCTTTGTCTAATTGCCTTTGTGTAAGTGTACTTGTTTTACCTCAAATTTGGGCACTGACAAAGGTCTATTTCTAATTAGGGGTTGACAATAGGATATTATTTTGACATGATATAAATCTGTCAACTGTCACTGATTTTGCTATTCTTTTTATACTGCCCATAATAGATATGTAAAAAAGGTTGAGTGACATCTAAAAAGGAAAACATCTCTTCATAAAATACTGTGTAATTTTTGTAACTGTTTGTTTTTCCATCACAGCAGGTGTGTAAATGAAGACTATCTCTTCCTCCATTGTGTATTATTCTTTGTGTGTTTGGTCTGTCAAGTGTTTGACTGAAAGCTTAAACAATAAATTGGCTGTTTGCAATGGAGATACAGGTGCAGGTTGTATCCAGCACCTTTTTATTATGTTAGTGAATGATAAATCTGAAAATGTAGTACAGAATTCCTCCCACAGTGAACTTTGACCCAGCCTTTCTCCATCATGCTGATTTACACTACTCAGACAAGGGGCGACAAGGGGGGGGGGGGGTAGGGTTTGGAGTATTTTGGAAACAGGTCACACATTTACAGAATGCATCCATACAAAATCAGCAAAAGGGCCATAAATCTCTCAGTCCAGCGGCACAGCCAATCAGAGGACCAGGAGTGGAATTTTGAAGCCTTGCGCAAACGTAACTTGACAACTTCCCACCAGACAAACACACAAACGCGCACTGTTATGGAGGGTGAGGTGGGAAGACATCAGAAAGAAAGAAAGAAAGAAAAAAAAATGTCACAGCCGATTTCACTTTCAGCACAAGTTGGGAGAAAAAAAATAAAAACAGCCTTTTCAGCGTTTTGGCAGACTGGCCGCAGGATGATATCCTCAATAAACTGCCAACTATGCACGAACGCTCGGACAAACAAAAAAAAGCTGCAGAGCATGTACTGTAGGCGTAGTAGGAAGCTTACACACAACAAGAGGAAAAGCCTGCTGCTAGACAAACACACCCTACATACCATTGTGTCTGTGTGCATGTGTGGCTAGCCAGGCCAGACAAATGTGCCAATCGTTAATGACAGACGTCGAC